ACCAAAAAGCCGGACATGTCCGGGAAAATCCGAACGTATGGTAACCCTATCCTTGTAGCTAAGGGCTTGTCTACATGGAGCAGTAACGCGGACTATGGGAGCATGATTTCTGAAGCACCCTAATGTGTTGCACATTAATTAGTCTGTGTAGACCCTGCTGGCGTGCACTAAAGGTTCCCTAACATGCTTTAACATAGTGCTGTTTGAAACAGTACTATGTCATTGCACTAGGGAACATTACAAAGAGATTACTCATTACACTGTATATACAAAGAGAGAGCCCTGAATCTCCCCTGATTTTTGGATATTACATAAAAATCAAAAATTGCTAAGAAAATAAACACCCAAAATGAAATGCATAAACCTCAAAAAACCAGAAAGCCTTAACTATATTCCAATCACAGACTCTTCCGTTGTTCAGCTGTAGAGAGAAAGATCTCAGATAGAAGGGTGATTTGTTCAGTGACTAAGGCAACATTGTTTCAGCAAGATTTATTTTAAAATAAAATTCATTAGCTGTTTAGGCATCCCGAATATGCAGGGTGAGAAGATAAACAAGTGTCACAATGAGGGATTTTGGTCTTGGGTGTTGGTTCCAACAGGTATTTTGTCTTTCACCGATATTCTGTATTCATGCCCAGCACTTTGGATCAGTGCATTTTAAATCAAACCAGATCGCTACATAAACTTGTTCTAGATACAGTCCCCATCAGTCCTGGCCAGTAGGGTTGGTTAAATCAGCTGGTGTGGGAGATCACCTCTAAGGATGAAAGGGACGCTCTGGTCTGGTTTGTTTTCCACTCACCATGTTCTTTTCTTCTAGGTCCAGTCCAATTTCTACAATCTTCTGCAGCACCGTGGGGTGCCCATTTTTAGCAGCTAAATGTAGGGCTGTGTTCTTTTCCTGCAAATAAACATTGCTTTGTGTGTAAATAAACAGCATGATCGAGTACTCAGACAAAGCAACTCTCTGCAAACCAATATTTAGGGTGATTTAGTCTGATCGCAAATCCTGTAGTCAGTGTCTTATGTGTTAATCATCATTTAAGAAAAAAAAGATCAAATTCTGATAAAGATGCTTTAGTACATCAAAGGGAGGTCTAGGAAACTGTTCTCTGTATGTATATATATCTCCTCACTATATGTTCCATTCTATGCATCTGATGAAGTGGGCTGTAGCCCACGAAAGCTTATGCTCAAATAAATTTGTTAGTCTCTAAGGTGCCACAAGTACTCCTGTTCTTTTTAATATACATTGAACATTACTTTGTAACAATAATATGCTTCTCCCAGATCCCCCAATATATATCCTAGGTGATGTTAATTATTACTGTTATGGGACACACGTATCAGTCCCCCATTGCTATAGGATCTTGTTATCACTGTAGTGTCAGTAATGCCTCAGATTTCACACTACAGAGCGATGGCGCATGGGTCTCATGGACCTTCTCTGAATGGGGCAAATGTCTTCTGTCTCCTTTATCTGTCTAGTTACTGAGACATCTCCCATCACCATAATATAGGAGCGCCCCTAATGTTCAGCAAATGGTAGGAGCATGTACGTTCCTTGATCTAGATGACTGAACTGATGATTCTTTCGTCTGTCCTCTCAGTCTGGGCCCAAGGATAGAAATCCCAGTGTCCTTCTCCCCACTAGGGGCCTACCATCTACCCGCGACAAGCCAATGGGACGGCTTTTTCTGGTAGAGTGAGGTTGCAGCTTCATCGCAATGTACCTTAGAGTTATGACATCCAGAAAGCTCAGGGAAGAGTGTCACCCTTGCCCTTGCCCCACTACGGTGGTGTACTTGGAGGGCAAACAGACAGGGGGAAAATTTCCTTGGCAAGACACTGCAGACCACTGTGCGACCAGCTGATGAGCTTATGCTCACAACCCACCTGCGCTAGATTTCAGCCAGCCCCCCAGCTCCGTATCCCATTAACAGTCCCTCGAACCATCTAGTCCCTGGTTATATTTCTCTGGCCCTGTTCAATGGCTTTTGCTTTCCATACCTTGTCTTTAACACTGTGACTACAACCTGACCCAATCAAGAACTCCACCACTTCTAACCTCCCATGCTCTGCAGCCAGATGAAACGCCGTCTTGTCCATCTTTTAGGTAAAAGAAAAAAGAAAGAAAGAAAGAAGACATGTGGAAAACTGGGAAAGCACAAACACCACGATTTTTGCTAAAGGCCCAAAAATAATGTCTTTGTGAATACTTACATCCTGACAGGCTGGTTGTATTTCAACCCTCAGGTATTAGTGCTGTACTTTAAAGGTAATAATATAAACCACCAAGAGCAAAACATTTTTTGTTTTAAATTTGGAGGTGATCCTATAGAAACAAAATGATCTGAACCACCCCCGGGAACGAACAGTTTGGTGTACTTTGGTTTCATCTGGCACAATAAAATGGCAAGTTAATCTCAGTATTTATTTTACAGGAAGAGGGGAAAGTAAAAGGTTTATCACCAGGAAACTAGAGTTTAAAAAAGAGAAAAGGAAAACGATCTGCAGCATCAGTTATCTGGTGAGTCATTTATTTTAATAAAGGTTTCGGCTAAAGGTAATTTGCATGTTCGACCCACTTTTTCTGAGCAGCAAAGCGAATGGAACACTGCAGGAAGTGTGTGGTAGGGGAAGAAAGGGCTGCTCTTGACATCAGTGAGGGTTCTGCGTGCAGGAGGGCAGAATGTGGGGCTGGAGTTCTGCCTTGTGAATGCAAGTGCTTTCTTTATTAACAGATTGAAAAAGAGGCCTGCCGCTTGAACGCATCGGCAGCAATCAATCAGTAAAAGACCTGTGGGAGATATAATAATAAGAAAAGGAAACTATTACCCAGTCCCCACTGCATCAACTATGTTAGGGGAGCAGGCGTCAATTAATGGAACCTGGATTGAAACTCCAAGGGACTAGCGTGGGAGAGAGGGCGTTAGCTGAGGACCCTTGGCTGTACAATTCTCTACTGACTGGAGCCAGAGTCAAATCACCATGGAGATGGGACGGAAGATTCGCCTCCTGCTGCAGGCCTTTGCTTGAGAACCAGAGGTTGGAGTGTGATACCCTTAATATTAATAATCCCTAGCTCCTACATAGCACTTTTCATCCATAGATCTCCAAGCACTTCACAAATGAGGTCCGTATCATTATCCTCATTTTACAGATGAGGAAACTGAGGCTCAGAGAGGGAAGTGACTTGCCCAGGGTCACCCAACAAACTAGTGGCAGATCTGGGAATTGAAGCCTGGTCTTCTCTGTAACAGTCAAGTGTCCTGTTTACTAGGCCACACTTGCCCATGTTGACTTGGTGTCATTGACTTTACTAGCTGTCCAGTATTGTTAAAGCGAGGTGCTATTTAACATGAGTAAAGGTATCAAGAATCTGGGTGTGAACGAGGAGTCAACCCTGCTATGTTCTTCTTAAAGCCGCAACCCAGATTTGCCCTCTGTGTGCATCTGAGCGCAAAATCTGGCCCCGAGGACTTGATCCTGCTCCTGTTGAAGTCCATGGGAATGTTCCCATTAATGCCAATGGAGCAAGATCAGGCCCTAGGAAACTGAAAGTGGTCCAGCATCTTGCTACCTTGTCTGTCTTATCCACATGCACGTCCTCCAGGTCCTCCATAATGAACTCCATCACCTTGATGTGACCTCTCTGAGCTGCGCAGTGCAGCAGGTTCCTGCCATTCTGCAGAGGGGAGAAACCATACTTGTTTACTGAATCAGCAGCTAAATTGTTTGATTTTTTTTTTTTAACAGCTTGTTCAGTGGTTCTGAAACTGGGGCCGCCGCTTGTGTAGGGAAAGCCCCTGTCGGGCCGGGCCGGTTTGTTTACCTGCCGGGTCCGCAGGTTCGGCCGATCGCGGCTCCCACTGGCCGCGGTTTGCTGCTCCAGGCCAATGGGGGCTGCGGGAAGCGGCGGCCAGCAAATCCCTTGTCCCGAGC